TATATAATTTAATGGAAAACAAAATTTGCAATTATACTATGAGCAATAGAATGATGTATTTAAAAAATTTAGATGAAAAATCGCAGAGTTTTAATTATTTCAACTCTCTTATTTTTTGCCATAAATATATAATTTAATATAAGAAAAAAAAGAACAATTTGCAATTATTCTATGAATAATATAATGAAGCATCAAAAAAAAAAAATACAACAAATATAAAATTAAATAAAAAAACACTTGTAATAATACTATTAATCATTTAATGAAAGATCAAGAAATTGTAAGAACAAAGGTCACGGAGGTTGAATTTCAGTCGGTCTTCTTCTTTCTTCAATATATTTTTTTTTTTTTGTTCCAGGCAAAAGCGGAGTAGGTATAGGAAAAAGGAGAAAAAGTTAATAGCATCGAGAAATTAGCCGATGCGCAGGGTGGAGGTCTGCACGGAGGGTTTGGTTTGAGGGCGACGTTTGAGGGCGACGTTTGAGGGTGATCAGGGGGTTCGAGTTTCGGTGGGGTTTTCTCTTTCTCTTTCTCTTTCTCTTTCTCTCTCTCTCTCTTTCTCTTTCTCTGCACAGATGCAACGATAGCAACAGTTCGGACGGTGCGTTCGTCGGGACGGAAGGCCACATATGAGCTCGAAGCCTATGGCGTCGTATGGGCTTGACTCACACGCATCACGCGTGGTCATCCATCATTGTCAGTCTCTTCACTGACACAGACGTTCCGTCCTACCTTCAAACCTCTCCGCGTACGTATCGTTACCTACCTACTACGTATGTACTTTTACTTTATCCATGTACGATTTAACTTTTGTTATCCAACTTGTTGTGATTTTTTTCCTCTTCGATTGTGCACTTAATTTATTTTTCTTCTTATTTATTTCAATTCAAAAAGATTATACGAATTTAAAATTACAAGATCTTCCTCTCATTCAAATAATCATTTTTTTTTTTTATATATATATATATATTAACTTTTATTTCAAAAAAAAACTAATGCTTCTTTGATCTTGTTTATTTTTATCAAGAAAACATTTGTTTTATTTTTTCAATTTGTTTTAGGTATATACTTTGAAATCTTATTGGTTGTTCCTATTGTGGTGGATTAATCTGTAAAAAAAAGAAAAAGAAAAAAAAGAAAAGAAAAGAAAAAAAATGAAGAAAAGTTGTTGTTTTTCCTAAAGATTATTTTCATATCGTGAAAATGAATTGCACGAGACAGTACGCATGCGGGAATATTCTAACGCGGCATATGAGACGCGTTAAAAATAATATTTCGGTTCGATTGCACCGATATTTCGGCTCATCCATCATCGTCACTTTCCTTACCGACATACTAGTGCCTCGTTTCACGTACGAATTCGACTTACACACACGCAGATCCTCGGGGCCTTTCAGTGGGATGTTCTTTCATTGGGATCACGCTCGCTTTCCTCCTGGATATGAAATTCGTTTCTTCCGGTTGCTTTACATTTTTTTCTTATCATTTTTTAATCATTTATTTCTTTTTTTTTTTTTTTTCCATTTAAATAATACTAAGTAACAATTATCATTAATTCCAATGAATCTAACCAATTTGTTTTTCTTTTTTTTTTTTTTTTGTAAATTATTATACATATGTCAGGGAAAGGATTATAAGAGTGATAATGATATTAAAAACAATAAGTAAATAAGTAGGATCAATATTTTAAGTTTCGCTATGAGCTTGTATTTGATAAGTGTGTTAGTGAGCGACTGTACACGTGTAATAATTTTTTTTTTTTTTTTTACTGTGTTGAGGCATCACCTGCGACATTTGTTTTTTTTTTTTTTATACAATCGGGAGAATAGATAAATAATATATATATGTATATGCATATATATATTATTTATGAATATAATATATAATAATATATATATATGTGTATATAAGATTACCATACGCGCTTTACATGCAATGAGCCTTAAAGTATTTAACATATAAATTATAAACACTTTTTATATTATTCTATAGTAAAAGAAGAAAGATAACGGAACGCGACTAATAATTGTTTGTTATAATTATTTCGAAGACAACAATATTTGTTTTGTTTCGATGAAAATCAAAAAAAAAATAGAAAACACATATAAAATTTTAAATAAAAACAAAAACATAAATATAGAAAAACAAATAAATCAATATTATCTTGTAACATTATCCATTGCCTCATTTTGAATTGAAAATTTGTTCATCGTTTACGTCAAAGGGAAATGTTTAATGTAAAAAAAAAGTTTTTTTGATTTTTTTTTTTTTGTTATATAATGTTAAAATGCGTAAGAAAAATGTTTATACATTTTTTGATTAATTTTATTTTATTTTTTTTTAATTCGTTCAAACGACGAAAAATAGTTTGAATTGTAAATAATACTGACAAAATATCGCGTTAATTTTGAAAACGGTTTTTTTTTTGTTTTTGTACAGTAAACTCGAGAAATAAGAAATCAACGTGTTTAATCTTTCCGCGAGAGATTTATGTACATGTTTAAAAATCAACAAAAAATATAATAATTTATTAATCCTAGACGAAGACAAAAATCAATTTAAATACAAAAACAGGATACAAAATTTATCCCTTTTTGTTGTTGTTGTTGTTGTTGTTGCATTTCCGAACAATCATTTCTCTTTTCTTCTTTTCTATTATTTTTTTTTCTCTTTTTTTTTTTCTATAAAAAATTACATAATCGCGCGTATGCAAATCTTAGCTCAAATGCATAATGGTTTTCATTCTTTTTTTTTATTTTTCTTGATATCGTTTTTTTTTTTTTTAAACATTAATTTAACGAATAGTTGATTTGATAATGAAATTGTGTATAAAATAAAATAAAATAAAATAACGTATAATTAATTAGGTACGTTTGATGATTCATGTTATACGTACTATCAAACAAATACAGTCAATTTTTATTGAAATTCTAATTCGCTGTCGAGAGTTGTAGTAATATTATTTTTTTAAATTGTTTTTTGTTTTCCCATTCATTCATTCATTCATTCATTCATTCATTCATTCATTCATTCATTCATTCATTCTATCATCCGACGGCGTGTACGAACTAACATAAGCGTGATCGTGAAGAGAATCACTATACTTTATACACATAAATGTCATTGTCATTTCTCAATTTCACTCTCACTCTTTCTCTCTCTCTCTCTCTTATTTTTTATTTAATTTATAATATTATATACATGTTTGCATAATTAATTATTGCTTATTGATTTACAGCATGTACGTGTATATGTGTATGTGTAGGTTTTTTTTTTTTATTTCATTCTTAATTCACATATTCAGAACAAAAGATATAATAGATATATAAAAAAAAAAATATTCATCAAATAAAATATTAATTAAGAACACAATTAATTTTCGTTCACTCTCGTGAGATAATTCAATAGAATATTAAAATCAATTCGTTGAATAATAAAATAAACAATTAGATATATTTTTGATTTCATTATTGGAGTGATTGATTTTTTAGCAATTTGCAAAATTAATAATAAATAAAAAATATTTGCAAGACGGAGTCTTTGCAATAGGGTTTTTATATGTTTTTTTTTGTAATAAACAATAAATAATAATAAAAAAAAAACAATTTTTCATAGAATTCTAATGTAAAAAAGTTATGAATAACTTGAAATATATGTATTCATAAAATGCAAATCAAATTGAATAACTTAAAACATAATAAGTTGATATAAAAATTGATTTCTTTATACCCGATTACTTTTATAATAATAAATGATTTATATTAACACGTTCTAGGATAATCTGAATTCACATAGGGTGCTCATATTTAATTTCAATTGTTTTAAGGATTAGGTAAATCAGATTAGAACCTTTTGATAAATTTTTCCCCGTATATGAAATTTTTCCATATGCCGGTATAAAGAAACAAATATTACAGTATCAGAGAAGTGCTTTTTTAAAAATTAAACAAATATATTTAGATTAAATGCGATGAAATGAAAGTGTGGCATATATACGATGGTGATTAACCAGAAGAAAACAAAAATATTGCAAATGCAGTAGCTGTTCACGAACGTGTTAAATAATTTTAGACTTTATCCTCTCTTCGTAATGGCCTATTTCGATAAAACTTTGTTTTAAAGAAAAGCGTTTACGTATTTATTTATTCCATTGGTATTGATTTTCTTCTATTTTCTTTTTAATCATTTCTACAATATATGATTTAGTATTTTATTTCATCTTTACATAATATTTCTCGTGTTTAGAGGATTAACTTTGAAAACTCCCAATTATGATACAATTTACATAAAGATATTTATATAAAAACATTGCACTTTTCAAATCTCTTTTCGATTTATTCACGAGAGTTCTAATTTCGTGATTGATTAGGTTTTTTTTTTTCTTTATTCATTTTCGTAATAATTATTTTTCGTTATATTTACACGCTTCTTCTCGTCGATTTTAATGAATTGTTAACGCAAAATTAAGATTATATGTTGTTTGCAATTTTCTATGACTTTGTCTATTCTTTTCCTTTTTCATAACTGGCCATTGAACTATTAGCTAATTTTTAAAGAAATTTTCGAAGAACAAATTGGCCAGGATTCATTTGGAAACGCTTAAAAATACAACATATAGTATCTACTATTTACGTATATACAAGCTGCATTTATCAATCATAATCATCATCATCATCATCATACTTTACTTCTTCTTCTTCTTCTTAATAATAAATAACAGAATTAACGTAACATATTAATCCCTGTATTAAGAACAAATTCTTTGCATGGACGCAATGATTAGATTTATCCATTAAACAGTGCATGACGATAAACACGTATAGTGAATACATTTTAACCTAAACAGTGCATTTTAACGATCAATCATAAACGCGAATTATACTTTAAGTTGCATCGTTTCGTTTCATTTTTCTTCATTTTGTCTTTTTTCCCGTACTAATTGTAAGATATTATACTTACATACGCTTGAAATGATTTTTCCTATTAATCGTGTATTTTTTTTTTTTTTTTTTACACCAAAATTTAAAAGTAGGAGTTTCGAACGATGTGCTTGAAAATAAGTCAACGAGATATTACGAGTTTAAAATCGTTCATCCAGTCATCATCAATTCCGATGGTTTAGAAATAGTCGAGTAACTTCATGAAATCACGAAATATTGTTAACTTCATATTTATCACTAATATATCACCAACCCTAATCATAAACACAGCACATATTCTTCTTTTCGCCACGATACGTTTACAAATCACAAAGTAGTCAGTATAACACATTGAGGAGTCCCTGCTCATCGGTCCAGTCAAACTGACACGGATTCTCCGTCTCGTGGACTCAGCTGAGCTGATAATATTCGGGTACAAAGTCATTGGCGAGATTGCTGAGAAAATTGAAGTCTGAAGAGCTATTGCTGTTGTCGGCCGACGGTGGTGGTGCAGTCGTGTGAACGGGTTCACCGTAAAAATTACCGTAATTGTTATAATCCGTACTTCCGTCGGCTTGTCCTGTGCTACCGGGTGGCGTGATGACAGCAGCGGTTGCAGCTGCAATCGCAGTCGCTGTGGTGGTCATTCCGGGTGCTGGGAACGGATCTGGAGAGGACACATAACTGTTTGGTATATTAGATGCCTCACCACCCTGATGAACGTGCATCTGATTGGTTTGTTCATAGTAAGTGTTAGGGTGACATTTATTATTGGTTCTGTAATCACTGGAAGTGGGATGCATTGATGGCGGATGAGCGACGTAACTTTCAGCTTGTTGTTGTTGTTGTTGCTGTGGTTGTGGTTGCGGTTGTTGTTGTTGTTGCTGTTGTTGCTGATGTGGAATTTCATTATAATAATGTTGTTGTCCGCTTTGCGTTGACACATTGGAATGACCGTGGGATGCAAGATTTTCACTATTGGGATGATAACCGGTGCTCGTATAACCATAATTTCCAGAATTCATATATCCTTCCGTCGGTTGTTCGGCTTGTGGATTGGGATAGCCTTGGGCGGTATTGTAAGCACCTCCGCTTTGCATGTTTCTATGATACGATGCATGATACGTTGCTTCACTTTGAGGATATCCATTATAGTCGGCAGTATTTCCATATTGGTTTTGTTGTTGATGAAATTGCATGTTCGAACCATACACGTTTCTAGGACCGGTCACTCTCGCGTGGCTCATTCGCGAGACGACTGTCTGATTTTGTCTGTATGGATGAACTTCGTTGGAATATGGAATTCTAGTATGTTGGTATCTTTGTCTGATACAATAACTGTTTTGAGATTGAGTTTGTTGAACAACAGGAGGGACAGTTTGTCTATTCGTTGGAACACCGTTTCTATAATCAACACCGAGATTTGATTGATAAACGTTTTGTTGTTGAAAATGATTTTGATTCGCTGCCATGGTTATGGCAGCGTGTGGGGACATAGTACCGGGATTCGCCGATCCATGCATTATAGCTGGCACCGAAGTTGTTGACGACGGAGAGCTTCGTGGTCTTTGCATATATGCTGTATGCGTTTGTTGCATGCTCAGTGGACTTCCTTGTTGAAGCTGAACGGAGGCCGGTGTTCCAGGTGTGGAGGAAGGTGTCAGGCTTCTTGCTGAACTTTGACCTGGCAAGACCGGCGTACTGACCGTAGAATCAGGCATAGCAAGAAGTACACCATTACTATTTACTGAACATATTTCCTTTGAACTCGCGGACGGTGACTTTTTGCTGATAGAAATTTGTTTCGATGCGTTTGGACTCTTGTGTCCACTTTCGACTTTGATCCTTACTTCGTTGTTCGAAAGTTTTTTCGTCGGCACGCTCGGCGAGGTCACTTCACTGCCATCCTGCGACCTTGAGTCATCGTCGGCCATCATCTTTTCTAGAGAACTAGAAACACTGTTCGTACTTCCGACACTACTGGCACCATTACTGTTCGTATTGAATCCTGGATTACTATTGTTGTTGTTGGTAGCAGTCGGAGTATTATTATTATTATTGTTATTGGTGTTATTGTTATTGCTGTTGCTACTTCGTCGACCAGACGATGCCAGATCGGCTACGTCACCTGAAAGAGTACTACCGACGTCTCCAACCCCAGAAATATCACAGTTGTGACAGCTCTTCTTCTCGTCAGCATCGATACTTAAAATTTTATCATTCTTCGTTTTCTCCATACCGTCGGACGTCGAACCATCCTTTTCGTCGCCGTCCTCTTTGCTCAAAGTCTGTCGTTTATGCTTCATTCTTCGATTTTGAAACCATACTTTTACCTACGAATACAAACACTGTTACATTTTCATTCGATCGAAATATTTCTCTCACTTTAGATGAAAGACTGATGTAAGGAACCTTTCAGAGTAATTTATATTTTATCGATTCATTTTGTTTTGAAGTTAATGTCAGTTAGCAAATGTTATTCTTACCTGTCTTTCTGTCAGATCTAGCGAAGCTGCGATCTCGATTCGTCGTGGACGACATAGGTACTTGTTGAAGTGAAACTCTTTCTCCAATTCTAACAATTGTGTGTTCGTATAAGCAGTCCTTAATCTTCTTGGAAGACCATTTTCTGCAACAATGAAATAATCAAAATCATTTTCGTTATATTTTTCATACTTGACAAATATATAT